TAATATGTGCTTAAGTCTTCACGTTAAGATACTAAACAAGACAAGATATGTGGAAGGTCTAGAAACAAAACAACAATTATAATCTCAATATTAACTAGTTAAAGGAATAACTTTTCTGTTGTTACCTATCTAACGCATTACCTGTACCATACTTTCTGCTAATGACTTTTTTTTTCTTCAGTGCTTCTTACTGAACGTACAAATCTAAATATTTCTTGAAGGACACCTCCTTGAGAGGAGTTACATTTCGCGCCAATATTATAACCAACTTTTCAGTAATAATTTCTGTTTAAAGAATCAAATACAGAAAACACTATAGGTTAAATCAAACGTGAAAAGCCTCAATTCTAAACATAATTCAATAACATGGAGCAATGATATGTGATTTATTTACTTAATAGCTATTGTTAGGTATAATTTTAAATCATTCAATTCTAATCTGAGGCATTGGCATACCTGATACTGCATCACGATCGTCACGACGGTCACGACTGTGTCTGTCTGTACCTGTGAAAGAGCTGCCCTCTAACCTAGTGGTGTTTGGAACAATTTCTAGTAGATGGCAGGAAGAGACTAGTGAATAAACAAAGCTGTAGGCCGCCGAAGGTAAGAGGAACATCCAAAATAAAAACATCGTTGTGTGTGTTGAATTGAAGGCAGTGTATTAGCTTCTCTGTAGTGATGGTATTAATTTATTGGACGGTAACATAAATACAAGAAAACATAAAGTATATTTAAGGTTGTAAGTTTTGAGGTTTTCACGGCGATGACTATGAAGAAAGTCGTCTTCTGGGTTTTGGCGTCGTGTATACTCGAAGAATACACGGCGCCAAAACCCAGAAGACGACTTTCTTTATATTTAAGGTTGTTTTTTAACTAAACTCAAAGAAAGAAAATAAGTCAATGTTTCGTCGTCAGGAAGTAGAGCAAAATATAGAGCTAATATATCACTCGAACACGTGGGAAAGTTCTAATAGGTCTATTACGAACGGCACAAACAAATTAAAATTACATTCACAAGGAAGTAGAAGCACTTCTTAACACTGAAAATGAGGCAGCATATTCCTCCGAAACTTTAATACCCATCTAGACGCCGTCATATCAAAGACAACCGTAATCTTGGAATTAATAAAAGATTAAAATCGGGGAATATTTCCCACCATTCAATTCAGAATCCTACGTCTTCCAGACTCCTACCTACAAATGTAAAAACTTACAATACACACAACACGTGTCGCTTTCATATTGAGAGAATTACGTAGACTGGAGGTGTTCGAGAACAATATGCTAAGGAGAATATTTGGACCAACGCGACAGAAGTAACAGGAGACTTCCAATAAAAATGCATAATAAGGAGCATAACATTTCTAATTCTTAACCAGATATTGATTGCGATGAGGTAATTGGATTTTTCAATTGACATAAACCTTTCAGCAGCACTACCGCCCTGGAGTCGACTCAGCCTCTAACAGAAATGAGGACCAAGAATCTTCCTGGAGGTAAAGGGCGGCCAGCACGTAAGGCTGACAAACTCACCGCCATTTGTAAGCCGACTTTTAGAAAATGTGGGAGCCTCGGCGTCTCACATCCCTTGGGCCTTCACGGCCTGTTACAGAGATAGATTTACCTTCTTTTTTTTTTTACCGTTTACCAGATATTGATTGGGCGTTTAAATAAATTAGAAAGAGATTGACGGAGTATGTAGCAGGCACGGGAGATGCGAAAATGTATACAAAATTTTGGTCTGAAAATCTGAAGGAAGCAGATCACGTGAGAGAATTACAAGTAGATTGAATGATTAAATGTAAACGGATCTTACAAAAGTGTCGTTTGAAGAAGCACAGTGATTTCATTGGTGAATGTGAAAATGGAACTTCCGTTGTCATAAGCGGTGGAAAAGTTGAGTAGAATGATCATCTGTGTCCCAGAGACTCTGATCTGTGGAGTTAGTTTAGTCAATTGTTTTTTTCTCGTTGATGACATATCAACATCATCCAATCACCATGTTTTGTTTTAAAATAGGAGGTGAGGTATTTAAGGACATAAAAGAGTATAAGCAAATACACGTGACTTCACAGACACAAAGCCTTTCCTCCTCCCCCGCCCCTTCTTCGGACACAGGCGTGACTAGGAATGTGTAAATATTACGTAAATAGGTTTCCTACTCTATTGGATTTGAGGTTATCACAGCAGTGATTATGAAGAGTTCGTCATCTTAGTTGTGACGCCGTCTAGACCGGCTAGAGCCCGAAGAGTGCTGAGCTTGTCGCCTGCTTCTGCTGGTTTCTTGATTCGTTCACTCTTCAACCCTGAAATTGGAAGTGATACGATTCTCCGAAACGTATATGCAGTCGACCATAGTCAAGTTTAGAAAACAGTGTTAACTCTGGCTATCGTAATATATTCGCATAAGTTCGCTGTTCAGTCATTTAACCCTGAAGATGGAGACAGAAAAGTTCTCCGAAACACCAATTACCTATTATTCCCAGAATAGGAACAAGGTTTTGTACATACTGCCGCGAAAGCTTGAAGACTTCTATGAAATTGACGATAGTTGACAGTGAATTTTAGATCAGCCTATGTTTTATGTGTAGGACCTCGTCACGTGAGGGAGTGTGTGACTATACACAGGGGTTTGGATTGGTGAATAAATTTAGAGGTCGTAACTACAAATACCAATAACACTATCAGTATTTTCATACTTATATTTTACTAGAGCACACAGTCTAGTATTCTCAGTCTGTTACTAGGCGTTTCCTCATAACGGCTCCAACAATGGCTATTCATATGCCTCCGGCTCAAATCCTCTCTTCACAGAACTAAGTTCTAACCTTGTCCCTTGCGTATAACATCTCGGCACGGACCACATAGAAAGCATAGCTCTTCTATTGTTGTTTTCGTGTCTGTTGCTGCCGGAACTTGTATACCGAGCATTTGTCCAGAAACGGCCCTGGTATATCCGTCCATCTTCCGGTCGTTGCGTAGCAACGGCTCTACACGCTACAATATTATGATTCCATTTGCATTCTCGTATGTAGGGCCTATCAAAACTGCGGATACGTGCTGGTGGAGCTGGTTTATTGCCTAAAAAGAAAAAAAATATATATTGGGAATTGGAAACTACAATAGGAGAGACTCTGAATTTTGTGCGAAATGCAATATGTATGTACTCGTTAATGTTTTGTGTTGAATACATCGCCTTTCTTGTAGGCTGTTTCTTTAACACTTCAAAGCCTGAAACAGAGACAGGAAATCGGGAGACAAATTAAGACAGTTTGGTACATGGAAATTATCCAGGGCTTCAGCTGCTTTCACTAGCCTGCATGTTCACAGACAAATTAACTAAATTAAGATAGTAAGTTTTGTAAGCCACTGTAGCCATGGGCGGCGGAATTTTGATTCTGCTTAATTAAAACCTGCATAATTTGGAAACGAAAATTGGGGACATCTGAAGCAAGGACTTTGATTTTGGTGACTCAGATTCCTACTGGAAGCACGCTATAGCAGCTTGGAGTCTAGGAATGTCCGGATCGCAAGTCGCAGGAATTTCCTGTTACATCCTGACTCCTAGCGGACAGTCCGGAAATTAAAGAGCTCAGCAGTCCACTGAGGTTTCCCTTGCAATTGTGCTATTGCTTTATTGGTATTAGTGATACAGTACTTAGATATTTAACTGTACATTTGTTTACGAAATGTGTGAGACAAGGACAACTTCTGCTGAAGTTTTCAGTAATCAAAACAATTTTTTGAATGTACGGGATACAAAATGGCCTCTCCCTAAGAAAAATGGCAATGTTCGACATAGCATAACTAAGATCTTTTATGGCCGTGTTCAGGCAGTTAGTCGCCGACTTCCCACCTCGGCGGCCGGGGTTCGATCCCAGGCCAGCTTATGTGGGATTTATGGACAACGTGGCACTGGGGCAGGATTTTCTCCGAGTACTTCGGTTTCACCTGCCAGTTCCCATTCTCCCGACAGCTCCAAACTCATTATCATCATCATCATCATCGTTATCCGGGGCTGGTACAATAGTTCAAATAGTGGCCGACGTACCAAGTGGACTCAGTCTCAACCCCCACCCAAAAGAAAAAAAAAGGAAAGGAAAAGACATTTCTTTATAGTTATAAATTATTTCTCAGCCATTAACTTGAATCCAGTCTGTATAGGTTATGTTTCCATACCTTCGCCTGCTCACCATTATTCGATTGACAATGGACGGCGAGACCACTCTGCCTGAACAATTAATGCTGGTGCGACGAAAAGGGAAGTCTCAATTCTGAGACAGTAAAATATGGTCGCGAAAGACTGCGCTGGCAAGGCCAGCAGCAGTCCTCTCCTCAGAGAAGGCGCCCCACAGAAACACGACCGTAACTGTCAAACGGTAATAATTAATATCTGGTCATGAGCCCAAAATGGGGAACGACACCAAGACTTACTGACTGACTGACCGTCAGTCGCAATGTGACTTTGACTCTGACTTTGACAGAGTTAGTTCAGGGGCAGTTACGAGTCAGTTGTAAGCTGGAGGAGTGAGTCCAGAAGAAATTTTAGTTCCGAGGTTCCAGAGTGATTGAAAACGAACTAGTAAGAAGACTTCACAATGATCTGAAGTGATAATTTTTGTGTTGAGATCCATTGCTAGGAGACGACTAGTGGAAACTGAGAATCCTAGTGCGTGTGAAACGGTGGACTGGAAAGTGGGGAAAGAGTGATAGCGCTGTATTGACTGTAATTGCGAGAAATTGTAACCAAGGCGTTAATAAATCCAATTATCTAATAGAGAACCCGTTATTTTCGTCACGCGTACCACCATACACATGACAATATTTTGGGTGCTCTCTGTTTGGTCTGTTGTAGGGTACAGGATAAAACGGAGCAGGAAAGAGAGTTTTATTCTCGGTGTTCCTCAGTTATCATAGATGGCGTTATGCTAAAGTCAGGTCATAGGGCAGTGATTGTTGCAGACAATGAAAAATCAAGTCAGAATAAAATATAAAGCTAAACTTGTATACCTGTTAGATTTAACTTCTTCCTTTATACACTTCTTTATAAGAATTTACTGCTTAAATAAATTCCTTATTTTACAACCTCTGAAGTTAGTTTCTTTCTTATGTATCCCCGTTTTTTGGGTTTCTTTGTTTCTAATTTCTAGGTTTTAATCTCTAGCCGCAGCTGCACACAAATAAACTAAAATTTCATCTATTAGAATTTCTTAATAATTTAAAAGACTATAGTGTATTCTTCAGTCCAAATTTTTTTACATAAGTTCGTTCTGTAGTTATATTTCGTGCCGTAACCGCAAGATGCCTCACAATGCAGAAGACCAGACACCACGAGCTAAGAGTATGTACATATACAACTCACAGCTGTGCGATCCACTACAGAGTCTACAAAATTTCACTTAACACCAATAAATACTGATTACTAGAGAAGATGTCATTGCATTCAGTAGTCGTGAAGGCATCAAAACTTATCTTGAGTATATATCGTTCATAATGCTATGTGCTCAGCATTATTCACAATCATTTCTTCTTCTGGAAATATTTATCAACCAAGAAAAAATTAATGCCATTACAAAGTATCTTAAAACATCGCAGTTTATCATATACGTGTAGATGTGCCAAGATCAAACAACATTCTGATAACTTTAGAGCGCAATTTATTTAAACAGCCATCTATCTGAAATAGTTACAATGTTGAACTGTTTACTTCGATGTTCTGTAAAGTTTAAAAGTTGTATTTGGGTTGTTAATAATATAAACATCTTAATTTGAACAAGATATCCGAAGTTCTCTACAATTTATATTTCTGGCTTAAGTGTTAAACAGTACATCAGTTAACATAACAAATCTGTATCCACTATTAGATTTTTAAACAAATTAAAAGCTCTCCATAACAATAAATAAGCATTGATAGAGTTCATATTCATTCATAACATATCTGAATGACATACAAAAAATACAATTATCATCCTCTTACACAGCAAATAATTCTGAGATGTTTTATTATACTTTCTACTGGTTAAAACAACAAAGGGTAAATAAGCTAACTTACTTACATGGCAGAAATTCAAGGGTGGTCATAACAGTGGGTTTACTGACTGGAAACATGGTGATGAAAACTAAGAAGTGATATTTAAATCCTATCTATTAATCTCTAAATGCTATGATGAGCAACTTCTTAAGCTTATCATTATTAAATAAGAATTTAAAATAAGTTTATGAGACTAGATACATCAACCAGACAACAAACAAAGCAGACACGAGTTCAAGAATGTATGTAGGATAGGAACACAGAACTATGCTACCTGACTGCTTCCTTTCAACATTTCTCACGCATAACGAGCTGTGATGTACACACAGTGCCCACTTATTGCATATTGGTTGTAGTGTTTTGCTGGTGAAAGTCAGACTTGAGTAGTATCAAAGATGACAAAGAATTTTCTGCACAGCTCTTATCGGAAAAACACAGAATTTCTGGGTTATTTTGCTTTTCTGTTATATTTTTCTCTCTAAGTTCACACAACTTTCATATTTCTTTAGATTGTGCTTATGTTTGGAAGTTCGGATTGTCATGGCCTAGTCTGTAGTCCTCCCTGATCCTGACATCAAGAGGATGAGTCTCCTTAGATACTTGAAGGTTTCTTCTGACCTGATGATGTGGAGTTGGCATAGTTGCTGGGATAACAATACTGCTTGGTCTGCAGCTGAACATATGAAGCTTGCTGGGGCTTTGATGTCGCTGAATGCTCAGTGTCTCAGCGTTGTGGCCCATGATGACATTTCTGGATGTGCCACCCATCTCCAAGTTTGTGTACAATGGGTTTCCGGCTGGAAATTTCATTGCTCCAACTCCCAGCATACCTGTGCCACCTGTGTCATCCGCCAGAACAACACTGGACTGAGCCTGGTACTCATCCACCCATGAGTTCGCTGCTCTGGCTGCAAAGGATCCTGAATAAATCACTGTTGGCGGAGCGGCTGTGACTGATGGATATTCATCCATACGTCTGTGCCTAAGGTGGTTTGATGGCAGAGTCCATGAAGAATACAGAGATTCTGGCCTATGCCATGGCCACTGCAGATCGGCTGTCCTCAGGTATCGACCGAAAGTTATGAGAAGTGTTACCAGAAAAACCAGAGCACATGCGCTGCCGATACCAGTGTAGATGACCAATTCAATGTTGCTGTGACGGTCACTGATTATTGTAGATGTAGCAGACAGGCCTTCTTCGTCTTCATGAAGTTTCTTTTCTGATGGATGTGAATGAAGTGACAGCAGCCTTACCACATGGTACTCCTCCCCAGACAACTCCAGTAACGTTGCATTTGTTTCTGCCAGCATGTGTAGGGGTTCCTCTTCCTTAACAAAGTCACTGTCAATGACTGTTTCTTCTCCGACCACTTCTTCAGAGTCAATGACTGCTGCAGCTTCAGATGGTGTTACAACACTGACGTTCACCAAGAGCTGTGGAGGTGCCAGTACCACACGATTAACTCGCACATCATCATACTCAAGAGACAGCCTCGCTGCCAGGTTCAGCTTCAAATATTTTGCGAAGTCTTTCTGGCGGAGTCGAACAATTGTTGAATTTCCGGCGAGAAGAAGTAAGTAACTACGACCAGTTGTCGGCGATGAAGGAGAAGGTGATGATGATGGCAGTGAACTGTCGTCCACGTGTTTTCCTGACGTTCTAATCACAGCATTATACTCTTTGTCGAGTTCTGGTTCTACCTTGGGAAGTCCTTGGAGCCGCTGCAATTCCATTTCGTGTTCCTGCTCCTCACTGTCGCTGTCCCAGTGAGCATAAGGATCACTTGACTCCAAGGGGCCGTGATATACAACATGCTTCTTCTGTTCAGGTGACTCGGAGGAAGAAAGTCTCATCTCTGATTTCTTGGTTAGTGGGACAATCGCTTGTTCTTTGGCTGTATTGACATTAATTATGGAAGTCTGGGAAGCTGATATTTGTTCATCTTGACTGGATAATGAAATAATCCCTTCTATACCAGATCTATTTGTATGCAATACTATGTCACTGTCAGTTTGAAGCACTGAAGTTGATATGATTTCTTGAAGAATGGAAGATATTTCTATGGGGCCAAGGGAAATGGTTTCATCAGTTCTGTTTTTTTGTAGAGAAGAGGATTTAGCGTTTGCCTCGTCTAAGGGTTCTAAGGTGGGAACACCGTCGATACTGATAAGGATTCCGGACACTTCAATGTATGAAGACGAGGAGTGATTGCTGTCAGCAGAGGTGGGAAACACTTCTTGAATGAAAACGTCGTTCTGAACTGGGGAAAGGTTTGATGACATGGTCACAATTTCAGGGGAGTCTGAAGGCGACCGCCCGCTTGGTGAGCCAGTACCATCCCTTAAAACGCCATCGTTGGCTGGACCAGGAGACTGGTCTACGGTCTCCGTCTTATCGATCGTTGGGGAGGCATTGTTTACAGTCGGTGACGGTGTTACGCCGGACCATGTAGGCGGTTCTTCCTCGGACAGCGTGTGTTCAGCACGGACGCCGGCATCCGCACCCGTGGTAGGAACGGCTTCTGAAACAAAATAATTCAACTGAATGAGGCAATGCGTCACAAACACAAAGTTTAATATTTATGAAACTTAAAGTAATTCTGTAAGTTGTCAGTGAGAGGAACGCGGGAAGATAAAGAGCAGCATAAATGTGCTTCACGAGGAGTTGGCGATGGAAGGAACTGCGAGAGAACTGCAGTCTACACAAATAGAGCAGTATAGGGGACCTCATGGCGGCGACTATGAAGAGTACGGTGTTACTGGACTGTAACACCATATAGTTCGGAGTAACTTCGCTGTTTCGGAGGAACATGACTTCCTTCTTCAGGGTGGAAAAGAAAGCCAAGCAAGGTGTCAACAGCAGCAGGCGGCAAGCAGTGCCACCATAGTGCTTGCTTGGTTAACAATGCGACCCTGAAGCTGGAGACGATGTTCCTCCGAAACGTAGGGCTCTCTCCAATACATGGCATTACACTCGAGAACCGTGCGATTACCGAGGGTTTACTCTACGTGTCTCTGTGATCGGAGAGTCTGAGAAATGATATTTGTAATTTTAATTTACTACGTTTTCTATACCTCAAAATATATCACCTTATAAATTGTAAAGGATCTGGAAGAAAGCGATAGTACTAATTTGATACGAAAATCCTCGATAAGAATAGCCGGTGGTCCGGGCGAGATTCGAAACGAGCACTTCCTGAATACAGGTCTGAAGCAGTCGCCCCCGGCAATCAAAATTTGGTATCGATCAATCATTTAATATTCCATTCGTTATTTAAGCAAGTTTCGTGTTTTGAATTACGTCATACGCGAACTGCGTGATGCTACAAGAAGTTCACGGAGCTATCTCGAATTATCTAGCATAAAAAGGAAGTTCGTATTATTTGTCGACCTACTTCCTCCTTCCTCTTCGTCCTCCGTGTGGACTGGCTGAATGATGAGTGTGTTCATTATCTCCGAGTCGCTGTAATTATGTGACAGCTGGATCGCACCCGTGCCCTTCCACCGCAATTCGTTTTGTCGCTCTCATTAGAAACTGGAGGATTAGCCTGGAGTTGAGAAGCGACAGAACAAAGAGGATCACTGATGAAGGCATTTTGGGATGTGACACAGGTATCGCAGTTTCGGAGGATACTGCTGCACCCCTCTACATGTATGCCACAGAAAAGCCTCAAGATCATTTCTAAATTTCGGTACACACGTATATATACCAAACTGCGCGGCATCACATCCCACAACGCCGTAAATCTTCAAGAACGTGGCCACTATATTTATTCGCCAGAATATGAACCTTGAAAATGAGGTAACAAGCACTTCCGAAACGTCGGTATCTTTCTACGAAATTATGCGGCGTCATATTCCAGAAAATAATGTTCAAGAAGTTTACCGATTACGATTATCTTAGATGTGACATCGTTTAGTCTGGTAAAATGGTACCATGGTTGTGTGGAACCATCCTTGGGGTACAAGGTCTTTCGGGATGTCCTACTGTGCGGTTTAAAAGGCGCGTACCAATATTTCAGATGAACCTGCTGCTTCCATCTTCAGGGTAGAAAGTGGAGATGGCAGTACCTCCGAAACACTATCAGGAAGTACAGTGAACCCTCGCTAATCCGGTTACAGTTGATCCGAATGTAGGATAATCCTGATCGAAATACCAAAAATGAAAATGCTGTTCACAGTTGAGAACATGCTTTAAGAGACACATGGCATTTAGAGAGGCAGATGAGTCACTTGTCTGTTCAGACAAAACTCGAGACTCTTTCTTCAATCTGCGCATTACGTTCAAAATCACGTACAGTTTCTGAGTCTTCTATCGATGAATAAACGTACTGCCTGTTTATAGTTTTTAAATAAAGGCTCTACTGTGATATTTCTCCAAATATTTTCATCAGTAGTACTTAAATTTGTGTTATATGTTTCCTTGCCTTTTAGAGCTACGTTTGCTTCACTAATCGGGGTACCCCCCCCCCCCGCGCCCGATCAATGTGGATTAACAAGGGTTTACTGTACATGACCTCATGCCCCAGAAGACACGAATTTTCCAAGAACATTACTGCTATATCCATCTGCTTCAGACTGTAACCTCCAGATAACAAATTCGGCAGAACTACACCTACAGAACCCGCCACTGCATCCAGTCTAACAGTTCAGTACCCTGCATCCTATTACGATATGGGTAAAGACGGTCCCAAATGGGCTCCAGTGCGAAGACGACATGCAAGCTGGAGGTCATGGCTTATCCTGAACGAATCGAAAATTGCAGACAAACGGCCCTGCGGGCAAGGCCCACTTTGTTCTTAGAAAGTTGGACCCTCAAAAGATACAGCAAATACAGGGTGTCCCAGAAGGAAAGGTAAATATTCTGTGAGGTCGTAGTATCGGCCCTCATTCTAAGCAGAAAAGTGTACACGTACACGTGTCCTATTCCGAAGGGTTTCCGAGATGCAGCTACTTCCCTGTACAGTTCAAAACTGTTGATAAGAAAGAGATATTACGTACTGCTTCTAATACCGGTATTTACTGTTCAAGTGACAAAGTTGGTACAGTTTACCTAGTGTAATGCATTTCGGAAAATTCTACCGGTAAAATCAATGCACTTTGCAGTGAAATAGCTCTATCTCGGAAACCGTTCGGAATAGCACATATGTACATATAGGTATACACTTTCTTGCTTAGAATGACCGATATTATGACCTCCTAGAATACTGATTCTTCCTCACGTGACACTCTGCATAACACTGCATTTGATTTTGACGTTTTAGTGAAAAGGAGTACACAGGAGTATCTCAGCGGCGAATACTGAGACTACTGTCTTCTAGAGGATGATGCAATGTAGTCTCATGTACCTAGAGGAAGTTGAAGTAAACAATATTTAAAAATGCATTTTATACCTCACAAACGGGGGCACGCGGTAGGGTAGTTGGTTGAGGTACTATGTTGCTAGCAGGAAGGTCGCGGGCTCGATTCCCTATGGGGTCACTGATTTTTTCAATTGACCTAATCCTTCCAGCCGCACTATGGCCCTGGGATAGACTCAGCCTCTAACAGAAATGAGTACCAGGAATCTTCCTGGGGGTAAAGGGCTGCCGACGCGTAAGGCTGAAAACCTCACGGCCATCTGTGAGCCAACTGTCTAGAAAATGTGGGAGCTTCGACGTCTCTCAACCCTATGGGCCTCCACGGTCTGTTACTGCTCCGTTTGTAGTGGAACTTGTTGGCAGTTAGATGTACACTTTCACACTTCACGTTGCTTGAACAGCAGCACTGCGGAAAGGAGGGGAGGGGGGTTGAAAATTCTCCAATCGGAATCAGCAAGATGCTTTCAGAAGCTTCGTGTGAGAGTCCCTACCATGACCGCGTAACAAAGGCCACTCTGAGGCGCACTGACACAAAGGTCCAGCGGTGATAATTACATTCAAGCTTTCCGAAGGCTGCATATGCACTGTGGGCACTCAGAGCGCTTCACTGGCCTGGGGTGGCAGCGACAGCAGCGACTCAAGTGAGCCTGAAGCACATTATAATAGTTGCTGATAAGTTATATCTGAGGTCCTCACAGTAATGGCTATGCAGAGTGCTAATTTTTGGGACGTGTAGTTCGGTGGAATTTTATCGACGTTTCGGAGGAACGTACCGCCTTCATATTCCGAATCGAACTGAAAGACAAAGCAGCAAGAAACAAGAGTAAAGCAGATTGCTTCACGTATTGCTGCCTTCTTGATTTAACTTGCTTGGCTTGGATTGTCAAATAAAAGCAGTACGCTCCTCCGAAACGTCGGTGAATTTCTATCGGTTGATTGAAAACGTCTTTGTTATTACGGTTTCTTACACAACAAAATTACACTTAAGATCTGACGTAATATCTTAGTGCAATGGGCGGAGTGCTGCTGAGAAGAGGCACGTGGGCCCATGGGCACATCCTTACATCCCAGAATCTTCGTAGTAACTGATATTACCTTCAGTATAATAATGTGACGTATATACCCGTTGATAGGCAACGACTCGCTAAACACATTGACGCGCGACCCAACTAGCGCAAGAATAGATCGTCCATTGCTAGGCAAGGAATCAGTAAACACGCCTCCTTAACGAAATAGGCTGTGTTTTCTGTGGGGTCCGTGCGAAGTGATCATAAGGAAGTCTTCAGCAGGACAGAACAGTTGGCTCGACACCAAGAATTACTGACTGACCGTCAGTCGCAATGTGACTTTGACTTAACAGAACAGTAGTCAGCAGTACAGTGAAGTGAAGAGTCGAGTTCCGAGACGCCAACCTGCCGGTATATGAGCTTAGAACTTAATGCAGTAGTCTTCGGATTTGACAGTTGCAGAACAATGGAAAGAAGGGAATTATACTGCGAAAAGAAGATTTCATGCGTGATTTGAAGTTACTAATAAGATTATTATAAATCCGTTGCCAGGCTACGGCTAGTAAAAACTGAGAACCTCAGTGTGTGCGTGTAACAGCGTACTGTAGATAATGGAGACCAGCGATAGCGCTGTATTGCCTGCAGTGCCGAGTGGGGTGTATAAGGTTCAATAAATCCAATAATTCAATCCAGAACCATTCTTACAAGTTACGTAACAACCCCTACGCGTGACAATAACTGGGTCACGAACGGGAGACCGAGGTTCGAGTACCGACAGGGGAAGAAAGCGCTATTCCAACGTTTTCGGCTCAGATTTGATATGCATCTAGTTTCCGATCAAATGGATACAAGGCGCTCTCTCCCCAGAAGTAAAAAGGCCGGGGCGTGAAGCTGACTACTCGCCTTCATCTAGTGCCAAGTTCAAGGCTGTGTGGTACATGCACCCCGTGCGTCTGCATGACTCAAATCTGTTTCGTTGCTGTAGGCCTATATTCGGGGTGCAGTTGGTTAAGATCTGGTCAGATTCACCGTTCACCCTTATCAGGGACCCTCGTGGTTTCTGAAGCCTCCCCAAATCAATGCTGCACCAGGATCTTGAATGACGTCACGACAACTCCCCTTATAATCACGACCGTTATATAAATGTCCAGAGCT